AAACGGTAGTATTAGTTTCGAATGTTTCATCTATCGRTTCCACGTTTGTCAATTGAGAAGCCATGTCAACGGTTAAGCTCTTGACAAGTTTAAAATCAGTCGAAACTCTATAAAACGGYCAAAACAGCTCTCGCTTCATAGAAATTCTGAGAATGCGATCGTAAAATAGCTATACCGAAGCTGAACTTTGTATAAAAGATTTGAACACTTCATTCTTAATCACGTCTCTAACATTCCCCTCTAGGGTGGGGATGGTATATTTTAGACCGACCAAAGTTCTTTTGATCAAATTTGGCATTTATGTTATTTATAAACATAAATAAAACTGCCTTTATTTCAGTACACAGGGATATCACTTGTAATTATGTTTGCTTTGATGACAGCCTTACCCTATTTCCCTTTACGAATGTTTCAGTGAAATTTGAGAAACAATGCTGGCGTTAGTTTACTTTCATTCTTACTATAAAACTATAAACATGGATGCTTGTTCGTTTGTTCATTTATAATCGATAGCCGCTGTAGGGTTGATGCCAAAGATCGAAAGCGTCAGAAGCAAATTGTCTCGTTAGTGTTGTGTACAAAAGATATAAAGCACTTGTCGCGCATCGCTTGGAATAAGCTGGATTAGAGGTGGAGCTACAAAATGCCAAGCATGGCAAAAGGCAGGTCGAGGTCTGACTGAACAACAATCAGATATGATATTACTTGACTGGTGTGTTTTTCCCTCCAGGTTCAGGTTAGTATCGTTAAAATCACTATCACTATAAATGAATATTTGCTAAAATATGTGCATCTATGCTGTTTAAAAAAATTGTAAAAAATGTCGATATCTCTTGAACGAAAAAGATAAGGATTCAGTGTGACACATGCAAAAGCTTTCAGTGGTATGATCGTATTTCATATTGCATTGTATTTCCAGGTAACTCAATGAAGTCATTAACAACATGTACTATTTACTGTTTATTACTATTTACTATTTGCATAGCGTATACATGTTTGTATAATCATTATTGCGCGCTCACGAATGCGCGTACTCTCCGATTGGTCAGAAGCAGTGAAAATAAATAGGAAGATGGTGAGGTTACTATTAAACCCGGAGGGGGGGGGGGACTCCCTAATATCAAAGGGCGGGGGTACTCGTCGTCCCTTTTAGGGTTTAAAATCGTTATTTTGGTCCCGCTTACGGTGATAATGTCGAGAATTCCCACCAACTGAGTTTTGTGGTCCCTTAACGACCCTGAGCCATCATAATGGCAACGTCGTCATAAACGACRATTGTGCAAAAACGCATATAAAATCGGGAAACCAAAACAAAATGATCTGTTATTGATTTGTCCCTCTTAGGGGTGAAAGTTCAGCACTACCACGCCCATCATCTCACAATAGAGTTTTAGGAGTTATTTTCGGAATTTTCCGACAAGGACCCCCACCTTTTGATATTAAAGAGTCTCCCCCCTGACTTTTAAAGTCAGCATGACGAAGAAGAGCTTCAAGAGATTGCAGACAATGTGATACCTGAAGACTTATTCATCAGGATTCATCCTACTATGTATGCGCCATCTTTGAGATCGAGCCAC